AATCAAAATAGTCTAAGGACCAGTAAGACCCCCCCCCCCCCCCGCAAAAAAAAGCCAAAACAAAGCAAATCAAAACAAAATCTACAAAAATACCACTGGAGTGTGGTTGACATACCCAGAGTCACCTAATACTTTAGGCACTGAATTTCAACAGCATGTCAAGAGATGCTATTCAAATGATAGCTTTGTTTGCTAAAGACACAGCCTCACTCCAAAATCATGAATGTTTAGATTCCATACAGATACCCCTAGTACCATATTTTTCAGGTCACATGCCCCACCCCCATGACTGGGAACCTGCTACAAAACTTTGAATTCCTAAGTGCAGACTATGCTGTCTCCAAAACTGTAACTGGCCTTTCACTTTAGAGGAAGGAGGCATGTTCCAGCATGCTTCAGATCACCATCTTCTAAAAGTTTCACCAATGTGGCAGTTCCTGAAACTTTTGCAGGATGTATCTCCCGTCCTGTCTCACCAAAGAATGGAAAAGTAGCTGCACTGCTGGGCCATCATTTGGCTAACATATCCTTAAGACCTAATTAGCATAATCTTACTGAAACCAACAAATATGATATTCTGCAGAATGTCCAGGTCCCCTTGGATAGCCTAGAGTGACAATGTACATGTTCAAGGTTAAGGCTGTGATAGACTGTCACCTATCCCTTATGAATACAAACTACTTCTGATACTTTCTGATGGGAACTGAGAGCATATGTTCACTAAATTGGATTTGTGAGCTTCAGTTACTAAATATTTTAGGCTTTTCAAGTCATACTGTCTGTCACTATTCTATGTGGCCAAGGTATCACAAAAGCATTCAAAGACAGTTTATAAATGATCAAGAATGTCAATAAACCTTTACAAAACCCAGGCAATTGGGCCTGTGATGGCTCACTATCAGTGGGTAGACATTAGCTAATAAGGGTGGAAGGAGAAAACTGACTCCACACAGTCGACTTCTGACTTCCACATGTTCATGGCCTCACCCCACCAACTACACACACACACAATTTTTTTAATTGGGGAACCACATTTGACTTGTAGGCTGTAATCTGTTGACCCCTATGTAGCTGTCACATAACCTAAACCAGATGTTGTGCTATTCTTTTCAATAAAGAAAACATCTGACATAGCAGTGCCTTGGGGACTATGACTAGCTTTAGCTTGCAAGCTGTCCACTGTAATCCACCAGCCAGTTTTTGCAAAAGCCAGAAAGACTAAACTAAATGAGGATCTGAGCTACCCTTTAAGGGTGATCTAATCCTTGCCATTGCCCTCACAATATAGCATTATTTTTATCTTGACAGAGGTGGCGATGCAGTTCCAGGATTTTCTGCTTGGTCTTTTTGCTAAATGCTGGGCATCTTCATTGGCAGGTCAAAGAGATACACATTTGGATATTGCCGAAATGATCAGAAGAAAGAATATGTAGATCTGTAAGGTAGGTTTAGTTCAGCATTCCACTTATTCTATAGCCCGTTATTTCCCTAAATGGGGAATGTCTGAAGAAGAGACATTGCTGTGGTGCTTTGAATCTATGGATATCAATGTTAACATAGAGCTGTCATCTGTATGTGATTTTTAATTTGTGTGTGTTATGAGTGTTATGCCTGTGTGTAAGTGGACCACATACATGCAATGCCCACAGAACCCAGAAAAGGGCATCAGATGCCCTGGAATTGGAGTTACACACAGTTGTCAGCCACCATGTGGGTCTTCTGCAAGAGCAGCAAGGACTCTTAACCATTGATCACAGTGATGGTTTATCTTGATGTTAATTTGAATCTGGAATCTGCCAAGAAACACACTGTGGGAAGGTCTGTGAGGGCATTTTCTGTGAAGGACTGAGAGGGGAAGGCCCTCTGCCAACTGGGAAGCACCTTCCAGCTGAAAGCATTACTCGCCTGCCTGACTGCCTTGTTGTTGTTGTTTTTCGAAACAGGGCTTCTCTGTGTAGCCCTGGCTGTCCTACAACTGTCTCTGTAGACCAGGCTGGCTTTGAACTCAGAGATCCACCTGCCTCTGCCTGCCGAGTGCTGGGATTAAAGGCGTGCGCCGCCGCCGCCGCCGCCGCCGCCGCCGCCGCCGCCGCCGCCGCCGCCGCCGCCGCCGCCGCCGCCACCACCACCACCACCACCACCCGGCTTGCCTTGATTCTTATAGGTATGTCTATCCCATTACTGTTGTTGCCATCAGAACTCAGCTCCTTTAGTGTCTCAATGTTTCCGCTCTCCAGAAACTTTCTAAGTAGGCCTTAAGCACCAGACTGGGACTACGGAGGCATCTAGACTCCTTAACTGAACAAGCTCCTAGTTCTTAACCTCTCCATCAGGTTAACAGCCACTGCCAGACTACTACTTCCATGTCATGTAAAGCCATCTAGTAAGTTCCCTTTGAAACTTGTAATACATTCATTCTCTGGGTTCTGTTCCTCTAGAAACCCCAGATTAACACTGTATTCCACCTTTGGGTGTTCTTTCTGAGTGTGTTGGTAACTAAATGACCTTTCAATTGACAGTTTGTAACTCTGATGCTGAGCAGAACTTAAGAGCTTTTCTTTGACCTTGATTTTGAAGGTCTTGTTTCTATTTCTTGGTTGCCCGTCTGTCCTGCTCCTAAGACCACCTGGCTCTATTAGCGATCTCCACTCGATCTGTTTCCCTTGTAGAAAAGCTGCCACTTGGCTTTTGACAGTTAAGTGCTGCCTTGACTTTCCAGAGGAACATGACTGTGAGTTCTTCAGTTCTACAGCAAGCACCGTGTCCACTTCCTGAATCCTTTTTTGTACATTTTTGTATTATCTGCCATGTCTACTTAATGTGGGACAGGGATGGAAGAAGGCTCAGTGGTTGAGAGCTGTCTGCTCTTTCAGAGAACCAGACTTCATTTCCCAGCATCCACATCTGGTGGCTCACACACATACAGATTAATAATAAATCTTAAGAAGTTTTTTTTATGTCAGATGGTTAATTTTTTTTTTTTTTAATGTGGGCCATTTTCTCCAAGCTCCCCAAGCTTTCTGACAGGCGTGTTCTAACCTGTGGGGCCTTGAGAGCATGTTCGAGGGTCACAGGAAAAGGACATTATCATACATTTTGTAATAATTTGATTCTTGTTTCAAGAAGCCATCTATCCAGTCACAAATTTGTTACCCGAACACACAGAATTTTGGAAGGGGAGTTCTTGTAAACTTTGAGTACAGCTTAAATACTTCACTAAAGTTATGCAATGGTTATTTTTAGTTTATCAAGAGAAGCAAACTAGAAAGAGTGCTAGATAACCATATTGTGACACAGTTTTTGCTTAAGACCAAGTCTCCACAGGTAACACATGGGAAAGGACTTCAAGTATGTAAGTATACATTTGCCTAGGACCTATAAAGAGACTAAGGAAAGTCCAGAACAGCATTATTACCATGGAGCTGTTTTTTTGTTTGTTTTTCCAAGATAGGGTTTCTCTGTATAGCCCTGGCTGTCTTGGAACTCACTCTGTAGACCAGGCTGTCCTCAAACTCACTGAGATCCACCTGCTTAAGCCTCCCAAGCACCACCCAGCTGAAGTGGTTTTGTTTTAATCACTGTATCAACTTGTGACATTAGGTACCAGAAATACAGTGTCTAAAACTTTAGTATTTGATATTGCTGTGAAATTCAATTATATGACTGGTGGGCTTAACCTGTTAATGGAGTCTAGATGATTTAGGTGTTTTCAAATTTTCATGGCAGGCTGTATACAGTCTCAGCTGAATACCTGTCATGGGCAACAGATCCAAATATTGATGCATGAGGACTAGATGTTTAAAGACAAAAATCTCTGGTCCTTTACCACACATAATTTGACAAGGACTGCCCTAGGGCACCAGGTTTTATTCAGCTGTAAGTCTCAGAGTATTTAGGAAAAAAAACTAATTAATCCAAGGTCAACTGGCTCATATTCAAGGAAAATAAAAATGAAAGAAATGTCTTGGAAATAGCCATGGTGAACCATGGCATCACCACGAGAAGTAAGAATAAAGGACAGATAGCATGGCATTGAGCACAATTCCAAGGGCAGGCCATTCTTGTTCCTGTCTCCTCACCTATCCTTGTCAAGCTTTTGCAGAAGTGTCAACAAATTATTGGCAATTCAGGCCCCATTCATCATCACAAATCAGCTTGTACTTTTTTCCTTTCTTAGTGCATGGAGGAGACTCAAATTCAGACCCTGAGTCTTCTGTCTGATGAGCTGTGGAGGCTGAATAGTCCCCACAGCCTGAGCTCAAGCACATTTCCTTTCACAGAATGTGTGGGATCTTTTTTGAAGGGAGGGGGGAGGTTTTGAGACAGGGTTTCTCCATGTAACAGTCCTGGCTGTCCTGGAACTCGCTTTGTAGATCAGGCTGGCCTTGAACTCACTGAATTCGCCTGCCTCTGCCTCCCAAATGCTGGGATTAAAGGCGTATGCCACCACTACCCGGCTGATGTGTGGGATCTTTAAGAGTGATTTTAACCCAGGAGGGGGAAGTGATGTGTCATGAGCTCAAAGTGACTCAAATGATAAATGTGAATTTGTTTTTGAAAAAGTTATTTTCCAGAGGAGTGGATATGATCAAAATACATTGTATACATGTATAAAATTCCCAAATAATAAATTAAAAATATATATTTAAAAAGTTATTTTCCAAGTGAACCAAGACAGCTAGTTGGGCTAGACTATCCATAAAATATATGGCGACCACGGTCCTTAGACCTACTGAGGTCAATTTAAAATAGGTAATTTAGAAAACATGTTAACAATATACCATTAACATCAATTACAATGTAAGAAGTTAAGACTGAAATACCAAGGAGATGATGACAGTATCCTTTTACCAAAGGAAGGGCAGCCTGAGCTGGAGGGCAAGGCCATGGTAGAGCTTAGCATAACATTATACAGAACTATCTCCTAACACTTCCCATTCTGCAGCTTATAGAAGCTCAGCAAGATTAGGAGCAGACCTGGATGAAAAATAACCCACACATACGCTCAGAATATTTATTAGATACTGTCCCCCGGGGCTTGCAGGAAAAAAGACTCAGGCCACATCCCTTTCCCAAGCACCTTCCTGAACTAAGGATTCTAGGGAATCTGATGTCCCAAGTAAGCCAGAATGTATCTGGGTAGAATGGCCATTCATTTATCAGATCTGACACTACAGTTATGTGTTGGCCAGGGAATGGAAGGGTCCAGTGAGAATGGCAGAGGTACTAGATGAAAGGAAACAAGATTGGCCTTCATCAATTACAACATTGGTTCAGAGGGGCTGGAATAAATAAGAGTCTAAAAAGAGAGGGAAGAGGACAGCCAGGGGGCAAAGGAAGGTCAAGAGCTGGGTTCACCTAAATCACAGAGTTGTAGAAAGAACCAGGGTAGCAACTTGAGTCCTCAGGAGGAAACAGGAATTAAGAGTGCAGCACCCAGGGAGAGGAAAAGCCCAGGGCTTCTCTTCCAACTTGACCACAGGTAAGTGCAAAGTTCCTTTCCCTTCAGAGAGTTCAAAATGAAGGTAAGGAGATGTGGTGACATACAGCCCCAGGGCAGGCTACATTTCTCCTCATTCCCAGAGGCCCTGCCTAATGGAAACACCAAGTCTGAGGACTCAGCTCCTGCTCCCGAGCTCCAAGAGAGGGAGCAGAAACAAGGCACGAAGTCCCTGGGAATCAAGGGGACATGAGTATAGTCATATATAACATTACTTTTGGGAGCAGGAAGAAGTGAAATGCCCCAAAAGGGATGCCTTCCTTCACCTGGCAATGAATTGGCCCGTTTCTAACAGCAGAGCGCATGATGGAGTAGGGCTCATAGAAATGGCCTAGAGAACAGATCCTCAGCTGGTATGGCACACAGTCTTGAAGGGGATGTAGAGAGTGGGAGGCAGCTGGCTCCCAGAGACGACACTCCTGACTCAGTTCCCAGTGGTTCTGCTGACTCTAGATGCTCCCCATGGCTGGGACTCAGGGAGGAAAACGTGTTGTGTTTCACATGATCAGACACTGTTCGCCGTTGGCACCTGGTGGGCCCGACAGATTGAGGGTATCCAGGTCAAAGTTGAGGCCAGGAGGCTGGAGAAGAGATGAAGGGCTGAGAAAACCACTCGTATTTCAGGTCAGAGCTTCTGAAGGTCCATCCCTGGCAGCACAATGATCACCTTATATGGATTAACTAGGGATTACTGGAGTCTGCAGACTGGGAACTGGGTTAAAATGTAGAAGACATACTCACCATCTCCCCAGCCAGCTCTTTTGGAGGATGGCCCAAGTCCTGTAACTAGAAAATAAAAAGAATAAGCAATCATAAAATAAAAGTCACAGAAAACATCACAAAAAGTAAGAAAAGGAATGTGACTAGTGATCTGATTCCTCTGACCATGGTATGCAGCCTTGTGTCCCCTCCACCCAGGCTTAGTCGTGTAGCACCCTTTCCAGACATCTCTATTCAACCAGCGTGGACAGCTCCAGCAGGAAGGCAGTGAAAGGAGGGCTTACCTGCTGCATAAGGTCCAGCACCGTCTCGAAACGAGCCCTGTGAGTAGCCTCACTGTCCGTGGGTGTCTCTGCCTCAAACTGCTCACATATTTTGCCCATAACAGTGTGCTGCTCCTGATACTTTTCAAACTGCTCTGGAGGAATAGATTCCTGGTGACTCTGCAACCATTCTGGATACTAAGGAAAGAGGGGATGGGTGGGAAAGAATTAAGTGAACAAGGAGAGAAAGGGACTTAAAATGTGAAGAGCATGAAGAGGAAAAAAAGGCTACATAAGCAAGTTCATTGTGAAAAGGACAAAGTACTGTTGACTCCAACAGACCATCTGGATATACTGGTACTTACGGTAACTGCAGATTAGTAAACTATGTGTGAAAAGCAAGAAAGTAATCATTTTAGGCTCTCAGGATTGTTCTAGTTTCATTTCTGTTGCTACGACAAAACATCAAAAACAACTTGGGGAGGAAAGGGTTTATTTCATCTGATACTTCCAAGTAACAGTCTATCACTGAGGGTAGGAACTCAAGCAGAGACCATGAAGGAGTACTGCCTACTGGCTTACTTTCTTGCGTGTTTTTTTTTTTTTTTTTTTTTTTTTTTGCTTTCTTATATAGTCTAGGCCCATCGGCCTAGGGATGGTGCTACCCACAATGGACTATGCCCTTCCAACACCAACCACCAATCAAGACAATTCCTCACACACATGGCCATAGTCCAATCTGATCTGGGCAATCCCCCAACTGAGACCCCCTCAAATGACTCTGGGCTATGTAAACTTGACAGCTGCAGCTAACTAAGACATGGGTCACATATGATCTCTGTTGAACATTGTTGTTCTCTGTTATTTTTTTAGATTTATTTATTTTTATTTTGTATTTTACCTGCATGTATGTATTTGTACCATGTGCATATCTGGTGGACTTGAAGGTCAGAAAGAGGTGTCAGATCCCCTAGAAATGGGAGTTATAGATGGTTATGAGCTACCTACCATGTTGATGCTGGGAACCAAACCTAGGTCCTCTGCAAGAGCAGCAAGTACTCTTTAATAAGCCCGCTCTGTTGTTGCTTATAATTTTTAAAAATTCTATCAATTTTTTATATGAATGTTTTGCCTGTATCTATGTCTGTGGACCATGTGTGTGTCTGGTGCTCTCAGAAGCTGGAAGAGGGCATCGAATCCCCGGAACTGGAGCCACAGACCATTGTGATCTGCCATGTGGGTGCTGAGAATTGAACCCAGATCCTCCAGAAGAGCAGCCAGTGACCTTAACTGCTGAATCTCTCTCCATTCTTGTGTTTTTAAACTTAAAAATATAAAAACCAGGTCTAGGGAGATAGATAGCCTAGTGGTTAAGAGTACACACTGCTCTTGCAGAGGACCCCAGTTCAAGTTCAACTGCCAGCACTCATGTTAGGTGGCTCACTGCCAGTTGTAACTCTAGTTTGAGAGTGGTCTGGTGCCTGTAGCCTCCACAGGCACCTGAACTCTCTCTCTCTCTCTCTCTCTCTCACACACACACACACACACACACACACATACACTCACTCACATACACACTCCTAATTAAAAAATAAGGGGCTGGAGAGATGGCTCAGAGGTTAAGAGCACTGACTGCTCTTCCAGAGGTCCTGAGTTCAATTCCCAGCAACCACATGGTGGCTCACAACCACCTGTAATGAGATCTGGTGCCCTCTTCTGGCCTGCAGGGATACATGCAGGTAGAATACTGTATACATAATAAATAAATAAATATTTAAAAAAAAAAAAAATAAAATAAAATAGTAGTAAAAATAAAATTTTATGTGAACAGCCAGGCGGTGGTGATGCACGCCTTTGATCCCAGCCTTTGATCCCAGCACTCAGGAGGCAGACACAGGCAAATCTCTGTGAGTTTGAAGGCCAGTCTGGTCTACAGAGAGAGTTCCAGGATAGGCTCCAAAGCTACACAGAGAAACCTTGTCTCAAAGAAACAAAAAAACAAAACAAAACAGCAAAACAACAAAAACGAAAACAATGTAAACAATACTCTCAGCTTGAGAGTTGGACTTAGACTTTACAAACACTGGTCTGCAGACTCCGGGTGTTGCTACTCATTTCCCACTCAGTCATCTGTTGCCCTGTGATGCCGAAGAGCTTCTCTTTCTCTACTTCATTTCTCCAGTGAAACCATACGCTTTTTAAAGCAAGAACTATCATTGAAACTACTCTCAAACTGTTCATACCACCACCACAAAATCCTGTGAGTTCTTACTAGAAATACAATAAGGAATGTATCAGTCAAACTCAAGAACCTTGAACTAATTCAGAGAAAACTAAAGCTGAAGAATTTCCCCTTCTAACTCAGACAGTCCTGGTGTGAACAAATGATCAGATCACCTATGTACCTTTATTCTCTCAATAACAACTTCTACCTTCAACAAACAAATGAGTTTAAAAAAAATGTACTTGTACACTCAAATTACCCTTTTTCTATGCATAGTCTGAGCAAAGTGCCCACAAGTTGATATAATGAAGCAAGGCGAAAAAGCAGAGTAGAAATTCACAAACCTTTTCCGTGATCTCCTTCAGGGATGGGTACAGTACATCCTTAGACAGTAGGTTCTGCATGATACTCTGCATGATGGGGAGAATGTTCCCTTCCCCATCCCCTTCATCCATGCCCAGCCCTTCCATGGCTTTGGTCAGCTCCTCTTCAGACATGCCCGAGTTCTAGACAAGATAAAGAGAGGCGAACTGGTTACACTGCCTTCCTGGAATGCTTATCACACTTTCAGATGGAAAGAACAATCTGATGTGCCTGTAACAAAAATCAAGGCAAGGTCAGATTTGGGGAGATCCCCAAGAGCATCTACTTTGTGAGACTGCTCAGGATGCATCTGGGAGTGGACCCCTACTCCTTTCCCTTTACCTGAAGGTCAGTGGCATTTTTGGCTAGCCCACTTAATGTCTCCTTTAGGCAAGAAGTAAATTCTTGTTGAGAGTTTGCATCACTGCCTAGGAGAGATGAAAAGAACCAAGATTACCTAGGATTTGAACTGTCAGCTTGTCTAGACTGACCTACTTACCAACCTGGATATAAAAGATTTACTAGCAAACCACTACCACTTCAAAATCTTAACCACTCTTTGGCCATCTTCATGGTCATGCCATAAATCTGTATAGATAATGTGTTAATTGTTTTCCACGGTAACACTGTCCTTTAAAAGGGTTGGTCTGGAATAATCTTATTTATTTATTTACTTTTGAGACAAGGTCTCATTATGTAGTTCTAGCTGTTCTGGAACTCACTATGTAGACCAGGCTGGCCTCGAACTCACAGAGCTCCATCTGCTTCTGCCTCCCAAGGGTTAAAGGAATACACTATTATACCTGGCTGGAATAATCTTTTCTTTATTACTTTCCAAAATATCCTAACCTTTTCTTTCAGCAAGCAAGATTCCCAGACCTGTTTCTCTTGCCTTGTCCCACTCCATCGCTGTGACACTACAATGGTTATCAATTTTACAATCCTAGTATTGTCAAGCAATAAAGAGGTCTGTCCAGTATTTTTTGTTTGGGGATTCCTCACCCACTCTCCCAGCTGCTTCTGAGAGCTTTTGGAACTGTTCCACCAGGTGGGGCTCTTCTTCAGCCAGCTCCTTCATTGCCTTCTCAAACTCCGCAGTGGCTTGGGAAGCCAGCTCACTGTCAAACAGTTCCTGGAAAAATTTCTCTTGGGAGGCGAAGAGGGCATCCTGCAGGGGAGAGGTGGACAAAATTCACCTCTTACAGAACCACCCTGAGTCTAGCCTCCTAAAGGAGCTCAGGTAGTCGTTTTGGGAAATGAAACATCTCCCCCACAAACACCTCCATTTAACATTCTATCTGCCTCTTCTCAGGGGGCAGCAAGCAAAGAATCTGGCCACTGAAGGAATAATAGGAGGGAACATACAAATCCAATCACTTAAAACTGCTCTTTTCTCAAGACACTTCCTTTTCATCCCTCAGTACAAGCCCAGGTCCTTGTTTCACAGGAGCTGAGGCCTGAAAGAACACTCAGCAGTGTGAGGCAAAGGCATCCTCCCACCCACCCTTCTGGCCCACAGGGGCCTGCCCCACCCCTGCTCTGAGCAGCATGTCCATCCCCCCTCCCTTAAGGGGGTGGGATTTATACTTTGGCAGTGTCTCCTGGCGATCTCTTCTGGGGCCCTGAAGCATCAGGGGCCGAGGTGGTAGGAGGGGGTGCTGGGGAGGGTTTGGCTTTATCGAAATCATCAAGAGCACCTTTGGAAACAAGAGACATGGTGGATATGTTGGGGATGGATAAGGCTAGAAAACTGTGTGATTCTGAGCAAACTATCAGGAAAATAATCATATAACGCGCCAGATCTCCTGAACTTCTCTCTTCTTGGTGTCTCTCTTGCCTGGTCCACTGATCAACAGGCTTTCCACCTTTCCTTGGGAATCACCTAATTTATTGTGACCAATTGGTAAGAAAACCCTTTACATAGAACCAGTGTTCATCCCAGAACTAGGAGGAAAGGATTAAATAAGCTGTGCAGAGATTTTTTTTTTTTAACATTTTTGAAATATTTATTGAGTGCCTAATAGGCCAGATACAGAGGTCTAAGGAACTTGATTGCTTGTGAAGAATGACACATGAATAAACCTGTCTGGCATGTAAAATTATTCAGAAACCCAAAAACTAGAGGAAATGCCTAACTGGTAGAATATCAGAGTGAACTGTGTGGTCAAGCGGCAGAGAAATCTTTATATGCATACTATAAGATTCCCTAAAAATCCCACACAGTTATCTAACATGAGTAGAGGGGAGAGATAGGGCTTATTTCTTTGAACTCACTTTGAGGCCCTAAAGGCAGTAACCTCTTGTAAGAAAGCACAGGATATCCCACCCAGCTTTCCATGGGTCCTAATACAAACTCCACCCGTTCTACAGGAGGGTATTAAACGCTTAAATTACGTTCCAATTTAGTTGTACCTCAGCAGGCACCTACAGCTCCCCTTGGCCTTACATGCAGTAACCCTGGGCCAGTCGAGTCCCTTGGCATGCCTCACTAAATCTGTTCATTTTCTGCCCGCCTACATCGCTGTGACTGAGCCACAGATAAAAGGTTCACCTTTGCCCTGAAAAGCCTGTGTTGTCACACCACCACTCTGCTTGCCAGAGCCAGGGAAAGGGCACTGGCCTCACCCTGGGCAGGAAACCAGAGAGGAGGGCAAGAGCGAGAAGGAGAGGAACATCCACCATTATTTCAGGAAGATGAAATGTTTTCCCCTGGGACTGGCTCACTCTCAGTTTCTCCAAAGGATGAAAAAGGATGTCAGGCATGGTGGTGCCATGCTGGCACCGGGAGGCAGGGGCCAGAAAAATCGTAAGTTCAAGGCCATCCTTGAGTCTCAGGCCAGCCTAGACTACAAGAGACGGTCTTTCAAAACAATAATTTTAGAAGTAGTTTCCTTGAACTACTGACACGAAAGAACTAAGGGGTCTGGTAAAAGAATGAGGAAAGATTGTGAGGTAAAGAAGTTAAGAAAGATATGATCATGGACATAAGGGCCCTTGGAGTCGAAGGTTATTTTGTTCTGTGGATGCTGCTGACAGGAGAGGAGATTTCAATAATTTACTAAAGCCGGTCCTGGAGGCTCCAGCCTGTAATCTCAGCACTCCCAGAGGCTAAGGCAGGAAGACTGTCGCGAGTTCAAGGCCAGCCTGTGCTACAGGGTGAGCTACTGCCTCAAAAACAGTCCGACAGTCTAAAGCAAGAGAAGTTTGGGGCGGGGAGGGGTGGGTCACGAAACATCTCATTACAGTTAGTTTTCCCCTCCACAGTAAGATTTGCGGTCTGGACTGATCAGTGACCAAGGTGAACACCCAGCTCCCGCAATTAAGGAGGGCCGGGGTCGAACTCAGACCACCTCCCCCGCCAACCATTAGAGAGTCTCCCGCTCCGCCCCCAAATCTCAAGTTCATTTAACCCCAATGGGTCCTCGCCCCCGACCCCTCTAGCCCTTCCCATCATGGGCTCTTACTTTCCAGAAGCTCCTCCAGTTCCCGGTCCGCTTCGACCCCAACATCGCAACCTTCCTCAGCGGCCGCCATCTTGCTGCCTCCGACTTGCCGTAGGAGGTGGAACCACTGGCGCACCACATGTCCCGCCCCTAACCCCGCCCCCACGACTTGGGCAGCCAATGATATCGTTCTACTGTGCAGGACCGCCATTTTTAAAGGGACAGGAAACGTGGGTTTTGTTGTTGTTTTTGTTTTTCTTCTGGGAATCAACCTAGGTTCTTGCACGAACTAAGCAAGCACTGCACCCCTGGAGCTACACAGCCACAGCCGTTACTAGGTAGGTTGCGCAGGCTGGTCTAGAAATCGGGCTCCTCCCTTCTCCATTTCCCAAATGCTTGACCCACCAGGCTCAGCTTGATGTGGGGGCCAGGGTTGGGGGCAGAAGAGGTGAGAGAATTTATTTGCTTTCGTTTTGTTTGTTTACTTTCCCTTTCATCTGAAACTTTTAGTCTGGAGATGTTTTGTTTTCAGTCAAATTCTTCTAATCCTACTGCCTCCACCTTCCAAGGGCAGAGAGTACACCTCAAGGCTCAGCTAAATACAGAGCTATAAAACTTCTGGTAATGTGCTTTTTTTTTTTTTTTTTTTTTTTAGGCTAAGACAGAATTGCCAAATTGAGGCAATCTTGGTTTCATCCCCAGAGCCTGCATGGTAGGAGAGACTTCTACCACGCACTGAACTCTGACTGCCACCTGTACTGCTTGACACATACACAAAACAGATGAACAAAATAAAGATTACCAAGTCTATTTTCAGCAAGTAGCAAGTATCTACAGTTGTATACAATCTTATTCTGGGCACAACGAAATAAACAAATAAATCAGAGTTGGTCCTACCTGTAAGGGTTGACTGGAGGTGGAAATTGGAAACACAGATGGTAATTAATAGAATTAAGACAGACTCAAAACCAAACATAATTCTTTCTCTGAATTAATTCTGAAAGATTGTGTATGCGTTTGTTTTGTTTTGTTTTCTCGAGACAATATTTCTCTGTGCAGCCCTGGCTGTCCTGGAACTCAATGTGGACCAGGCTGGCCTCAAACTCAGAAATCACCCTGCTTCTGCCTACAGAGTGCTGGTACTAAGGGCATGTGCTACTACACCTGGCTCTGCTTTCTATTCTTACTATTGATATCCTTAACATCCTATCTTAATGCTAATTTACCCTGACCGACCACTCTTTCTAACTTCCTAATATATTGTGAATAGTGACAAAATAGTATTTTATAGCTTTCCCCTCCCCTTTCTTGCTTGAAGCGGGGGCTCATTTAGCTCAGGCTGGCCTAGAACTCCTTATCCTGTTGCCTACACACCCCAAGTACTAGGGTTATAGATACTCACCACCATGCTCTATTCTGCTCATAGCATTTTTTCGTCTTGTTTAAGGACTTAATGTCTCTCCACTGCTTATTGATTAACTTCAGATTCTTGACATATTCACAATTATATATATCCATTCCTCTTTCCCCACTTAGATAAGTGACAAGAAGCAGAGATTGTCAACTTTGCTCACAAATTCACTTTAGATTGTGTACAATTTTGTGATTTAATTTGTAAACTTATAAAAAAAACTTTTTTTGTAGACAGGGTCTCACTATGTAGCACTGGCTGGCCTAGAACTCACAGAGATCTGCCTGCCAAGACTGAAAAAAATATTTTTTCTCAATTTTTCCCCCATTTTTATTTATTTATTTATTATTTATTTATTTTTCTATTATCAGCGTGATACAGTATGAATTCTTATCCTAATAGTGAAATGTTTGATTGAGGCTTGCCCAGTAATTGAGTAAAACCAAAACTTATTATAAGTCACAGTCATCCTAGGGTCCCCCCTGCTATGTAGCCTTCCTGGTTCTGTGGGTTGCAGTCTGATTGTTCTTTGCTTTATATCTAGAATCCACTTATGAGTGAGTACATACCATGCTTGTCCTTATGGGTATGGGTTACCTCACTCAGGATGATATTTTCTAGTTCCATCCATTTGCCTGCAAATTTCATGCTGCCATTGTTTTTCTCTGCTGAGTAGTACTCCACTTTGTATATGTACCACATTTTCTTTATCCATTCTTCATTTGATGGGCATCTAGGTTGTTTTCAGGTTCTGGCTATTACAAATAGTGCTGCTATGAACATAGTTGAGCATGTATCTTTGTGGTATGATTGAGCATTCCTTGGGTATATGCCCAAGAGTGGTATGGCTGGGTCTTGAGGTAGATTGATTCCCAATTTTCTGAGAAACCACCATACTGATTTCCACAGTGGTTGTACAAGTTTGCATTCCCACCAACAGTGGAGTGTTCCCTTTGCTCCGAATCCTCTCCAACATTGACTGTCATTAGTGTTTTTTTTTTTTTTGTTTTGTTTTTTGTTTTTGGTTTTGTTTTTTTCCAGAGCTGAGGACCAAACCCAGGGCCTTGCGCTTGCTAGGCAAGTGCTCTACCACTGAGCTAAATCCCCAACCCCTCATTAGTGTTTTTGATCTTAGCCATTCTGACAGATGTAAGGTTACTCTCAGAGTCGTTTTGATTTGCATTTCTCTGATGATTAAGGATGTTGAGCATTTCTTTAAATGTCTTTCAGCCATTTGTGATTCTTCTTTTGAGAATTCTTTGTTTAGCTCTTTAGCCCATTTTTAAATTGGATTGTTCAGTATTTTGATGTCTAGTTTCTTGAGTTCTTTATATACTTTGGAGATCAGTCCTTTGTCAGATGTGGGGTTGGTGAAGGTCTTTTCCCATTTTGTAGGCTGTCTTTTTGTCTTACTGACTGTGTCTTTTGCCCTACAAAAGCTTCTCAGTTTCAGGAGGTCCCATTTATTAATTGTTGTGCTCAGTGTCTGTGCTGCTGGTGTTATATTTAGGAAGTGATCTCCTGTGCCAATGCATTCAAGAGTACTTCCTACTTTCTCTTCTATCAAGTTCAGTGTAACTGGATTTATGTTGAGGTCTTTGATCCACTTGGACTTGAGTTTTGTGCGTGGTGACAGATATGGATCTATTTGTAATCTTTTACATATTGACATGCAGTTATGCCAGCACCATTTGTTGAAGATACTTTCTTTTTCCCATTGTATAGTTTTGGCTTCTTTGTCAAAAATCAGGTGTTCATATGTGTGTGGATTAATTCGATTCCATTGGTCTGTATGTCGGTTTTTATACCAGTACCAAGCTGTTTTTATTACTATAGCTCTAGAGTAGAGCTTGATGTTAGGGATAGTGATGCCTCCAGAGGTTGCTTTATTATACAGGATTCTTTTAGCTATCCTGGGTCTTTTGTTTTTCCATGTGAAGTTGAGTATTTTTCTTTCCAAGTCTGTGAAGAATTGTGTTGGGATTTTGATGGGGATTGCATTGAATCTGTAGATTGCTTTTGGTAAGATTACCATTTTTACTATGTTAATCCTACCTATCCATGAGCATGAGAGATCCTTCCATTTTCTGATATCTTCAATTTCTTTCTTTAGAGATTTAAAGTTATTAACAAAAGGTCCTTCACTTGTTTAGTTAGTGTTATCCCAAGGTATTTTATATTATTTGTGGCTATTGTAAAGGGTGATGTTTCTCTGACTTCTTTCTCAGCCCTTTTATCATTTGTGTATAGGAGGGCTACTGATTTTTTTGAGTTGATCTTGTATCCTGCCACTTTACTGAAGGAGTTTATCAGCTATAGTGGTTACCTGGTAGAATTTTTGGGGTCACTTATGTATACTATCATATCATCTGCAAATAGTGAAAGTTTGACTTCTTCCTTTCCAATTTGTATCCCTTTGGTCTCCTTTTGTTGTCTTACTGCTCTAGCTAGAACTTCAAGTACTATATTAAATAGATATCAAGAGAGTGGACAGCCTTGTCTTGTTCCTGATTTTAGTGGAATCTCTTTGAGTGGCTCTCCGTTTAATTTGATGGTGGCTGTTGGCTTGCTGTAAATTGCCTTTATTATGTTTAGGAATGTTCCTTGTATTCCTGATCTCTCTAAGACCTTTATCATGAAGGGGTGTTGGATTTTGTCAAAGGCTTTTTCAGCATCTAATGAGATGATCATGTGGTTTTTTTCTTTCAATTTGTTTATATGGTGTATTACATTGACAGATTCTCATATGTTGAACCATCCTTGCATCCCTGGGATGAAACCTACTTGGTCATGGTGGATAATTTTTTTTGATGTGTTCTTGGATTCGATTTGCCAATATTTTGTTGAGTATCTTTGCATCAATGTTCATGAGTGAGACTGGTCTGTAATTCTCTTTCTTTGTTGCATCTTTGTGTGGTTTGGGTATCAGGGTAATTGTAGCCTCATAAAAAGAGTTTGGTAATTCTCCTTCTGTTTCTATTGTGTGGGACAATTTGAAGAGTATTGAAATTAGTTCTTCTTTGAAAATCTGGTAGAATTCTGCACTGAAACCATCTGGTCCTGGGCTTTTTTTGGTTGGGAGACTTTTGATGACTGTTTCTATTTCTTTAGGGGTTATTGGTCTATTTAAATAGTTTATCTGGTCTTGATTTAACTTTGGTATGTGGTATCTATCTAGAAAATTGTCCATTTCTTCCAGATCTGAATTTTTTTTTTTTTTTTTTTTTTTGGTTTTTCAAGACAGGGTTTCTCTGTGTAGCTTTGCGCCTTTCCTGGAACTCACTTGGTAGTCCAGGCTGGCCTCGAACTCACAGAGATCCACCTGCTTCTGCCTCCCGAGTGCTGGGATTAAAGGCATTCGCCACCACCGCCCGGCTGAAAAAATATTTTTAATTATTTAAAATTGTGTGTGCATGAACATACGCTTTCAGGTATGTGTATGCACTTGCACTCAGGGACAAGAGGTGGCAATCCCTCTGGAGGTAGACTTACAGGTGGTTAGGAGCTTCCAGATGTGGGTGCTGGGAACCAACCTTGAGTCCTCTGCAAGAGCAGTATTTGCTCTTAGCTGTTAAACCGTCTCTGTAACCCCCACGATGTCTAGTTTTTGAGACAGGGTCTCACTCTTTAGTCAAGGCTAGCCTTGAACTTGGGGCACTTGTGCCTCAACCTTCCAAGGATTTGACTTATAGGTGTGAACCCCCATGTCTGATGTTTGCCTGTACTTGCAGGATGTTTAAAACTTGAGAAAACATTTTCATAGTACACAGACTTTTGAGAAAGCAATCTTAGTTTGAAGATTATATTTAAGAAAGTAACTCTTAGATCTGAAAACATAAAAGTCCTGTACTCTTTTTTTTTTTTTTTTTCCGAGACAGGGTTTCTCTGTGTAGCTTTGCGCCTTTCCTGGATCTCGCTCTGTAGACCAGGCTGGCCTCGAACTCACAAAGATTCGCCTGCCTCTGCCTCCTGAGTGCTGGGATTAAAGGCGTGCGCCACCACCGCCCGGCCAAGTCCTATACTCTTTGAAGCAGGTATTCCTCTTGTAGTTCAGCCTCAGGTACACTTCCCCCACCCATACAATGTATGTTCAAGTTTATTTATTGCAGCAATGCTGGTAATTGCAAAAGGTTGCCCATAACCCAGATACTGTGAAAAGCTTTCATAACTCACAATAAAATATGCACGGAGAAAAACTGAAAAAAAAATGGGTATGTAGGAAAATACTTTAAAATGTGTATTGAATGAACCGGGTGTGGTGGCACATGCCTTTAATCCCGGCACTCGGGAGGCAGAGGCAGGTGGATCCCTGTGAGTTCGAGGCCAGCCTGGTCTACCAAGTGAGTTCCAGGACAGCCAAGGCTGTTACACAGAGAAGCCTTGTCTTGAGAAAAACCCA